CCAACTGCCGCGCATGCGCACCCGCAAGCAGCCCTAATCGACTATGACGCAGTGAAAATTTTAGATTTCCTCTCAGGCTTTCCCTTTTAACAACCTATTTCCGTTTTATAATTATTTTAGCATTCGATTTTATTTCAAATTGTTTTCTAATAAAGTTTATTTATATCCACGATTTATCATTTTTGCAGCCATATTCCGTAAGTTATTGAGCGAATCCAAGGAGGAGTTCCACAATATGTTCACACGCACTTATGGCGTCATCTATCAGCAAAATTCCTATGTTTTCTCCGATTTATTTAATGAATTGGAAAATTACTATACACGTGGACGCACCGATTTGCTGGATGTGATGGATAAATTCTTCAATACACTCTACCAGAAAATGTTCCAGGTGCTGAATGGGCAGTATACGTTTGATGAGAAGTAAGTGAAAATTAGTGAATGCTTATTTAATTAATGCATTAATAGGTTGGAGAGGTGGTCATTAGAGACGAATCCGCAGTCTCTAGAATAATTTATTCCCCCTAGGTCATTTGGCATGGGCCGACATCTTAGAATTCCTCCACCTTCATAGCGGCTCTGCCTTGTATTCAAATCAAAATCCGAAAAGCCCGATACCCACCAAGTCTTTATAGCACTTTGAATTTGTCTAGTATCCGTTTTCTCAGGTAGGTTTTAAAATTTCTCTGCACTTCAAACACAAAATTTATATTGCCGAGAACAAAAGTTGTGATCGAAAGTAAATGCCGCTCTCGTAGTTTTGTTCTCAAGAACGTATCAAAAACCAAAACCAAAATGAAAACAAAACTGTCGAGAACGTTCTCAATGGGAATCATTTAAGAATAATACCCTGTGAAACGTTTCCAAAGAGAACAAAATGTGAACAATGCTTTCGGGAACATTTCTAAGAGACCAAAATGGGATCAAAAGTTTTCAGAACGTTTTGACAAAGATCAAAACGGGAACTAAAGTCTAAGGAACTTTCTCTCGAAGAACAATTTGGGAACTAAAGTCTCAGGAACTTTCTGGCAGAGAACGGAGCGGGAACAAATATTCTCTGAATTATTCACAAAGAATGAAAGCGAGAACAAAATGTTTCACATAGCGTTAATTTATTTGAAATGTTTGGATATTAAAATTTATCAAAAAAGATAATTATGCAAATTAAGTCAACGAAAAACTTAAGGCATGAACTTTTCTTGCATAGAAAATGGAAAATTTTTCCATAAATGGATAGTCCACCCTAATGATAAACAATCTGTAAGTTGAAATGACCCAGACTTCCTCTGGCTTAGAATTAACAGTCGTCGTCTTATTGAAACGATTTTTCATCCCAACACGCAGACTAGGGATGTTAATTTTTCCGCTTTTTCAGATCCCGGGATTTTCGGGATGGCGTTGTCACAATCGCGGCATGCCGGGATTAGCCCCGGCAGATGAATTTTACTTGTGATATTTAATCTGGCCGATATGTAGTTCTATGAAGGAATTTCCGGGCGAATTGGGAAGATTTTCGCTTGATATATGGGCGGATGATAAACTTTTCTGTATAATAAGCTACTTAGGACATCTCTCGGAAAGGAGGAGGATTCTGCCCTTATGAAACTATGGTTTAAATGTAAGGAAGATGACATATTAGTCCTGCCTCTTTCCCTAACACAAAATCAAGGTTCAAGGTTCCTTTGTAGAAGTTTCATATATCCAACATAGTACTTTAATTTTTGCTTTCTACGCTGTAATTCTTCAAAAACACAAACCCATACATGAACGAACGTTGCTGCCAGCTTGCAAGGAAACTAGCTTAGCTTTGAATTTATATAGATACCAGATTTGTAGAACGGTGCCATCGGGCCCAATTTTTCCTTCTTCCCCACTACATTCATAAGTGATTCAAACTGTTTAACCGGTTGAAAAACTCACAGAACAATAGAAGATTTATCAAAGAAAATCTGTGCAAACATGACCACGAGAAAACTGAGACGAATTGTATTACATTATTCTTCATTGTGAGCCCTTAAGCAGTCAACGCCTCATTTCGACTAAAAAGCCTTGCCACGCACCAAAAAATCACATTTGAGGCTTAAATTTCAGTAAGTAATTTTAACATTTCCACCGTTACTGTTGTTAACTACACCAAATGAAAGGCTATGCATGCGGGGCAAATAGTGATGACCAAGCTTGTCACCGAAAGTCAAGTACCATAACAAAGAGCTTGAATTACAGCTGTTATGATTAGCAACCTTAGCATTTATAGCAAACATATGTACATACATACAAAACCAAGCAAGCCTTTGTAATTCTTTAGAAAACAAAAAAAAAACGGAATAAAAAAATTACTGAAGGGTCAAGTTTTTGCGGAAACAGCACTTGTAGACACACACAAAAGCGCCGGTCAGTCCCAAGTGACCAAGGAGACAGTAAACCGCAGCGACTCGTGTTACCCACGCGTGTATTTTGGTTTCCCAAAGCGTTTAAAATATTACCAACATAGCAAAAAAAAATTGAAAATAAATGGAAAGACTAATGCATGCATACATACATATGTATGTACATTAGACCGTACCACCTTACAAGCAAACGAAAAAAAAATTCGGCGTACATCGCTGAAGCCGAATTTTTTTTGCAAAGCAATTTGGAAAAAAAAACAAATTTTACCTAAAACAGAGGGCGCCATTTTACATTTTTCGGTGAAACCTACATGCGGCAATAAGTTTTTTTATTGGCAGTAGGGTAGTATGTTCCAAAAGAAATTTCTACTCGAGATAAGAACATCTTTATATCATACTTTAAGAGCCCACTGCAAATGCCGAAGATATAACGAAAAATTTAAAAAGACGAAACCCCTACATCTTCTTCTTATCCACTATAACCGTTTGTCGGTTTCCTTCTGCACTTGGTCCTACTGTTATGTCCGTGGGTGCGCTTGCTTTCGTTGTCCACCCATGGGTGCGAATTCGAAGGATATTTTCACCAGGGCGTCATCATCCATGCGTACAACATGTCCAAGTCCAAGCCAACGCAATCGTTGTATTTTTATGCGCTTAACTATGACCATGTCGTTAAAAAGCTCGTACAGTTCGTCATTCCGTCTTCTTCGGTACTCGGTGCCCACGCGAATGAGGCCATAGATCTTGCGTAGAAAAGTTCTCTCGAAAGCCACCAAAGCCTTCTCATCTTTGTTAGAAATCGTCCATGTTTCTGCGGCATACGAAAGCACGGGTATGATGAGAGATTTGTTGAGCGCGATTTTTGTTCGCCAAGAGAGGGCTCTCCTTTCCAATTGCCTGCGTAGCTCTTGTTGGCAAGAGTTGTTCTTTGCTTTATTAAGTAAACAAAGTCCTTCACTACTTCAAAGTTATGCTGCCAACACTGTCGTGTGTCCCAATACGTGAAGACTTTTTATGTGTTGCCAAGAGGTACTTTGTCTTGTCGTCGCTCATCGGTAGACCAACCTCGTTAGCTTCTTTTTCTAAGCAGCAAAATGCTGCACTAACTTGCCTGGGTTTTAGGCCAACGATGTCAATATCATTTGCATACGCCAGCAGCATCGTGCTTTGCTGTATATGGTTCCGCTGGGATTCAGTTTGGCAGCTCTTATAACGCTTTCCAGCATCAGAGGAAAAAAATCACATGAGAGTGAATCGCCTTGTCTAAAGCTTAGCTTTGTGGATGTTTCGATTCTGGTGTCCGGTACTACTAACCATTTACTATGGTCCGTGCTGCGGCAAAGTCGATCAGCATCTATCTGCTGTCGGAAGGGTTGTCATGAAGGTTGAATTTTCCGACTGTTGGACCTAAAATGCCTTCCTTGCCCACCCTGGCGTTAAAGTCGCCCAGCACGATTTTAACATCGTGGCAGGGGCAGCGCTCATATGCTTACTCTAAGAACTGTTCTTTGGTTTCATCGTCCTTCTCCTCCGTCGGGCGTGTGTACAAATGAGGCTCACGTTGTTGACTATGGCTTTGATGCGGATCGCGGCGATTCGTTCACCGATGGGAGTGAACCTGGAGACGAGGTGTCGTAATCTTTGCCCGACCACAAATCCCACACAAAATTTATGCACCGTCTCATGGCGGCTGTGGTAGATGTCACACGTTGCATATTTCATGCAGCCGTGTCCTGGATTGCAGTGATGTCAGCCTGTATTTTTCGAAGACATCCGGCAGTTGGATAGAAGCACCTTCCCTATAGAGGGTCCGGACAGTCCAGGTGCATATCCGAAATTCTCTTAATTCATTTATTTATTTTTTTATATGGGTCGTCAACGTTTGGGGGGTCAGTCATCCGAGGTTATTTTGATATTTTCATCGGTAGGGGCTTTTACGTGGCGGGTGCTAACCCCAGCGCACAACTATTACTGGGATGAGTGGCTTTCCAACCGGATACACGTTCATATAGCGAGCGGCTTGCTGCAAGACAGACGCCCGCTTACAGGCGCACCTACTGATAGGCAGACGCTGCCGACTACAGTAAGTCGTTAAACCGAAAAAGCCAGAGTGGCCCCACCGAAACTCCCTCTCTTTCTCTCCACTCGAGTAACTAGATACCCAGAAGAACGACCATACCCCATTCCGCTCTAAGACCCCTGTGTATGGCAAAAAAAAAATTGTTTTTTTCGAAATTGTCTTGCAAAACTACTTTCAAGTCGGAGGTGTACGTCGAACTCTTTTTTCTGTTACGGTCTAATGTAAATACATACATACATACGTATGAACATAACTCTAATCCGCTCACCTAAAAGCTCGTTGTTGTGAGTAAAAGACCAGCAAAGAAAGAAAAATGCGCAGTAAGCTGTTTACAGCGAATTTGTTAAAAGGCGCGTTGACACTTTGGCGCATATGCTACACACAATATTACATGGTTTATACTTTTGTATGTATGTACTAGGGCATTCAATCCCGGAATCCAAAATGCCGCAATTCCGTGAAACCCGGACACTTTTCCATGTACTGAAATTTCGGGATTACAGATCCGGGATCCCTAAATTTTTACTGATTCATTTACAGAATGATAGAGATGTTGAAAACAAAAAAAAAAGAATTCATTTGACATGACACACGATAAATACAGAACACCCAAACTTCGGTTCAAAGTGAACTGAATGAATTGAAAAATGCGAACCCACTGTAAAATGCAAAAAGTTGTGATGAAGTCGAAATCCTGAAAAATCTCAGGATCCCGGAATTAGAATTTTTACATCCCGAAATCCCGGGATTGTTAATATGCTTCGGGATTGAATGCCCTAGTATGTACATACCTTCGTTCAAGCCTACTCGTCCAACTAACGTTCACACAAGCAGTCCAGGTTTACTCCATTCATGAGCAAATAAAAGCGAAAAAATTACCGGAAGCTCAACGACTGGGCCAACATGCCGCGTCCAAGCGATGCTAAGCACACAGAGATTACTTACAAGCAAACAACACTCACTTTGCTTCGTTTATGAATTTGCACAAACTTTACGCTTTTTTCGCCTCTGAAGAACTCGAAAAAAAAAATTTTGCTTTGTAGTTAAAAAACTGTGGTGACCGCAGTGCAAAATAAATATGTATAAGAAATGCAACCGAAATAAAATCAACAACAGCAAACCACTAGCAGTTCATAAGTAGCGCTGCAGACCTATAAGTGCCGCAGACACACGCTGTTTCACACCTCCCACAAATCGACCCGCCTAGCCCGAGTTAGCGCTGCATTTTGCGCACAGAAGCTAGTTGAGCTTCATAGATTTTGTAATTCTAACAATAAATGGCTTGATAATCGGCCTTCTGATTCCACGCTTTTATATTCTTTGTAAAATGTGCTATTTTTTATTCACTTGAAGCAAAAGCAGTCGGCACATTAATCAAAGGGTTAAGTGCTAACTCACAGCTCCTACATTTTTCGGTCTGTCCTCTACTTTGTCCGTTATGTTTATACCGCAGCGCACTTGTGCACAAGGGTATTATAACTTTGTTCGCATAACAGTTGTTTGTAACAGCCAAAACGAGTAGATAAATGCTCATAATGAAAAGAGAAATCGACTAAGCCTGCATGTCTGTCCGTCCGTCCTTCTGTCCGTCTTTCTATCCGTGTACACGATAACTCGAGAAAAAAGTGAGATATGTCTACGAAATTTGGTAGCTAAGTTTCCCCTTATCCAAGGTAGGTTGGGATAGAAAAGTGGAGACATCGGACAATAACCACGCCCACCTCCCATATAACGGTATTTTTGAAATATGCAAACACTACGATATTTTCGTAAATACTGGATTCAAATAGTTGAAAGTTGGTACGCGAAGTAGAATTTTAGCATACCATAAGACAGTTGTGAAATTTTTTGAAAATGGGCGTGGCACCTCCCACTTACGATGAAATGCTGTATGTCTGTAGTCCCTTCACAAATTCCCACCAAACTCGGTACGAACACCTTGAAAATTTTTGCAATCAGACAAGCACCACGCCCACCTCTCATGTAACGGTAATTTACAGAAATACGAAAAATGCGATAAATTAGAAACTATTTAAGCTAATTTATTAAAAATCGATATATACAATGACCTCCCAGGAGAAAATGCTACTTAGGAAAATTTTTAAGAAAATGGGCGTGGTACCGCCCACTTACGCCTACGTATGTGTATCTCAGTAGCCGGTTTATCAATTTCTTTCAAACTCAGTACATTTATCAACCTTCGGACTAAAATAACCGCGACCTACCATATAACGGCAAATGACAGAAATACGAAAATTCCGATATTTCATTAACTAAAAACGCCAACTTACAACAATCCCTTAACAAGACACAATATTATTGATTTTTGTAAAAAGGGGTTTGGCCCCACCCACTTATGACTACATAAATAAGTGTATATTGATAGCCCCTTATCGATTTCCACCAAACTTGCTCCAATTATTTAAATATCTCATAGCATATTATCGAAACTGTTTGACATCGGGAAAAATACTCTTGCTTATCATACAGTTTACTGAAAGGTGAAAAAACTATATTTAATACGTGCGCCGGGTATATAAACTTATACTTTTTTGTATAGGGTGCTTGTGGAGTGCCTTAGGTGATAGAAAGTCTAATAGGTTGTTGACTAAGAGATTTAGCAGCAAATATTTACATACATATGTATATGTGAAGCAAGACCTCTTATTGTTTTTAAAATTGTAATTGTATATTTTGTCCTTTCTCTCGCCAGATTCCTGCACTGCGTGAGCGAGCATATGAAAGAACTCAAGCCCTTCGGCGATGTGCCTGATAAACTGGCTTTGCAGATAAAGCGTTCCTTTGTGGCGACGCGCACCTACTGGCAAGCGCTGCACACAGCAGCTGAAGTGTCAAAGAAGTTAATAAATGTAAGTAAAGTTTTCAAATGCTAACTCTAAACTTCTGAAACAAAAATTGAAAAAAAAGTACTACACAATGTACTAATGCTGTCTCTCCCTCCTCTTCTAGGTGCACCTCAATGCCGATTGCACGGCTGCGCTCACGAAAATGCAACACTGTGGCGCCTGTAAGGGCTATGCGCAGAAGCCCTGCACAAATTATTGTGTTAATGTGATCAAAGGTTGTCTACATTATGTGAACGAATTCGACTCGGAGTGGGAGAACTTTGCGGTAGCCATGGACAAAGTGGCCGAACGTTTGCTGGGCTCATTCAATATTGTGATGGTCGTTGAGCCGATTAATATCAAAATTTCCGAGGCGATTATGAACTTTCAAGTGAGTTGAATTTACTGTTGAATGGTTTTGATATCGATATTTTTTAAGTATAAATGTATGTATTTAAATATGTATGTATATGCAGATGTCTTTGCTGTGAACATTGGCGAAATTCATTCAGAAAAGTCATAAAAATGTAAATCTAAAGAATCGTAAAAGTTAAGGAGCTATAAAAGTCGATCTATAAAAGCTGATACATTAAGTTTTAGAGAAACTAAATATGCTTTGAATTTATTAGTTACTCTTTGGTTGTTTAGTCACGTCATTAAATTAACTGAGTTCTTTTTGGTTGTTTGTGTTTGGTTAATTGAGCTTTTAAGCATTTTAATAAATTTAAGCAACCGGTTAATGTCCGCTTATTAATTTCTATTTCACCCTTTTTCGTAATGAATTTTTAGTGCTACTAATGCTGTTGCCTTTAAATTTTCGCACGAATAATATGTGTAAATAAATAATAGAAATTTAAATAATCCACCGACAAGACGCTTTAAATAAAAAAGCTGTCTAATCAAATTTTAGATACGAAAACTGGTATGCCTTAAAGATCAGTTCAGACGAACTGGTCAAATGGA